TTCACAGCTACATCTTGCCCTGCATGCCAGCTCCAGCACATAAAGTTATAATCAAGTTATTAAGTTACTCATTTTCTTTTTTTCCATGGAAGGAGTCCTCATCTATCTATCTGCAGTTTGTGTGACGAGCTGTTTTTTAATTTTGTACTTGACAGCACATTGGAATGATTTTCCTTTAATCTCTCACTAAGCACTGTTAAAATGCCTACTCAGTGGAAAATTACCTTATCAATACCATTAAGTAACAACAGCAATTGAAGAGACCTTTATCGTACAGCCCAACCTCCAGGTAACCTGCATTGTCGGAGACTAATAAATCTTTATTAGGAAGTTTAATATGGAATATTATACTTTCAAAACAGGATGCACTTCCTGCATCATCATGCATTATGATCTGAATGTGCTGTTTGTAATACAAGCCCTGCAAAAGGCTAAGGTCATCTCTTCAATATTAATAACATAATGGACTTTTAAGCAGTGTTCCAGTCAACTCAGTACACAAGTTGACAAGGCAAGCAAGTCACATATATACACAGCAGGATACTGGCAAAGGCTCCACACAGGATACTGGGGAAAAAAAGCTGTCTAAACTGAATTTATGGAGGCTAGGAACTGGAAAGCCAGTCAGTTGGAAACTTACACGTACTTCATGGAGGACACTAATTTGGCGGATGCTCTTCTTAAGGACTTAATTTCTTTCTGAGATTTTCAGCACAGATGCCTATGAGATAAACAGACATCCATCTCAGGATGGTTACTCCTTTCCATCAAGGATTACAATGTTGAAAAGTGTTTGGAAGTTTTTGGTTTGAGGAAATTATCAAAAAACAACTGACTATTATGCCAGTTCCGCTGGGATTCTCTGAGGGCACTTACCTAATCACTTCTCTCTTGGGACCATCCCCTTTGAGGTCCTACCATGGCAGATGTAGGCAAAGGCTCCCAACCATGTTGCCGTAAAGACAGAGGACTGGTTTTAGAGGACCAGAGGACATTTTTTGAGATGTATTTGAAAATGAGTAGGCACAATATCACCAGCCAATTTGGCTAAACAGAAATCTGAGGGTCAATAAGAGTTATCAGGAGGAGGAAGTAGGAAGTCTTAAAAAAACAGCTAATTCTTCCTACATTGTGAATAGGAATAGTTTTAGGCATCACATCATCTTGTAGAAGTTCAGAGAATAAACCCTAATTAGTGCTAGCACTCACAGATTTGATCTTCCTGACCAGTGTACATACTGTATGTTATTTATTTGTAATGATTTGACTGATTGTTGGTTAATATGCAAGAATGATATTGATAAACAGGGAATAATTTAAGAGACAAATGAAACTTCCTGCCCTATTAGCTAAGCAATAGGTTTTCATGAAGCTCCACTATTATTAAATCAGACTACATTGATTTTGTAACCCAAGACTCAGAAAATCTTTGTAAAGTCTCATTACCTAAATGACTTTTAGCTTAAAGTTTTATGGAGCTCAAACCATATAGCTAAAAGTGCAAAATGAGATTATCCCATTTTCTTACTTGAGTAAATTGGTATGTCAAAGGCTCAGCTACTTCCACCAAGCAAACTGACAGCAGGTGCTGGTAAAAACCTTTGCAAACGAGTTTACTGAGGTTGTTCCTCTGCTGTGTGTAAAACCACACGCTAAGACCCTGAGCACAAAGGAAACTATTTGCTCAGTTCTCTGTATAAATAGGCAGCTTTCCCATCGTCCTTATTGCACGTCACACCTGCTCCGTAAACGTGAAACCTCCTGTGTTCTCAGGAGCGACACGCGCTCGCTGCTGCTGCTGCTGCTGAGCTGTTCCAGCAACAGCCGTCAGAGGACAGGCTGGCACCAGCCTGGTGCTTTACTCAGTGTCTATCAGGTAGCTGGAAGCTTAGAAGGAAGAGCACAAGGGAAGCGCAGGTTTAGCCAGGAGAACATGACTACCACCTGCATGAAGATTCAGGTGAAAGCAGTGAAGGTATTAAAAAAAAATCCAACAAATATACATATCCCTTAGACTCTTCTGCAAATGCCAACAGGAAGTTATTGCAGTTCATGCTGTGCTGAAAGGGGACTCCTCATTCTCCTAGCCTTTCCTTGGAGCTGCTGCTTCCTGCTTGCCCGCAGTAGCATGAATCCCTTAGCACTCTGTTGGATATTCTCAGCATGCACTGTCAGGTCTTATCTACAACACCTGCTCACACCACCAGAGAGTCTTGGCAGCTGCTTCAAATACCATTTTCTTTTTATGAAATGGAGCCATTTTGTTTTCTTAGAACAAGAACTCATGCGAACTGAACACACTTGCACTAAGCCTGCTCAGAAGAAAAAAAATGAGGTCAGCAGCTGCACAGAGAAAAAAAAAAAAGCATTAAGAATGTGAGCCTGCTGCTTCCATAAACCTGTAGTTTCAAATTGTCCTCCCAGAACTGGGCAGTACTGGATGCTCCACAGCTGATAGAGTGAAGCCTTTGTCTTTTCCAGCCTATAAGTTGTTAGAGATGACAGACAGATAAAATTAAACTGACTTTTCAGTCAGCTTTCAAGACAGTCTGTACAGCAAATTATTAGTTATTAATATTTGGTGTAGGTTGACTTCCCCAAAGTTGCACATCCATCCTCCTATTGCAGTACAATCAGTATTTCATACTGGCAGACCAGCAAGACTCCTCCTGTGGCCTCTTTTTGTTGTCAGCTCAAAGGAAGAGAGGGAAGAAGCCCCCAAGCCTTCGCCTCTCCCTGGGCTCTGGGAGAGCAGCTTTTCCTTGCTCCTGACTGCTGCTGTTGCTGCCTTTCCAAACAGGGTTAGGGCAAACCAGTGTTGGGCTCAAACCACATTTGGCACATCACACTTCATCTCCACAAGGTCTTGTGTGGCAAAGTCTTATCTCCCAGTGTGGCAGAGGTATCATATTGCTTGCCACGTGCATAGACCTTACTGAACAGTTTAAGTTCTCGAAGTCATTTTATGAGGAAAACGAGGTTATGAGACAGAGGAAAATGCAGCCACGTGGCACAAGTTCTAAGGTAAGCAGCAGCCACAAGATCCCCATAGCCATGATCTGTAATCTCAATCTGCAATCTCTGTCATTGTGGGCAATTTGCTTCTCTTGTTTTTGAGAGACTCTCACCTTTGTCCAGACTCCTGTCCTGCTGCCATGCAGGCCAAAGGGCTCCCATCTGCCTGTGTTTACTTAGTCACTCCTGCCATTATCCTGTTCACCAATGGCTAATGATAAGGCTAATGATAGGGCTAATGACACAGCTTCCGCTTTCCCTTCCTAAAGCACTTGACATACATTCTCTAGAGTAAAACACCATCCCCACTGGTGTAAGGGAGCAGTGGTCCAGTTCAGGTCAGCTTGTAGGTATAATCAGGATTCCTTGAAGTAGGACCGACAGGACCGTATGTCCTCAGTTTTTAAAGTAAAATTTAAAAAGCATATTTCTGCTATTAAAACACCAAAAAGAGGAAAGGGGAGAAGGAGGAAAAGGTAAGAATCCCAGAAGTTGTATAAGCTATCAAGCTAGTAGAAGACAATGAGGGGAAAAAAGAATAAAAGAAAAAAAAAATCCTTTCCCCCCCAGAAAACTTGATTCCACTAATATCGAGCTGGCTGAGGAAGGAAGGAAGGCCAGAACTTGTACTGGGAGAATAGTCAAGTCTGTCTGAGTTTGTAGAAAGTGTGGATTAACGCTGGGGGCCAAACTTGCTCCCACTATTCTGTCTCCTCAGTCTGGCAAGGTCTAGGATATAGATGGGCAAAAAGGAGCATTAGCAGAAAGATGTTCCTCCCTCTGAACAATCAAAATTTGGACTGTGAGGTATAAGCCTACTCAGATTGTGAATACCACATTTCACTAAAACAGATAGATGGGCCCCAGATGTACTTCAAGTAATCTGTTTTACAGTTAACAGTAAACAGTTTTACAAAAAACACCCCAGTTTATTTAAACAAGGTAAGGAACATTTCACAGAAATGGTCATAAAATGCATAGCATATATAAACAATACTGTTGCTTTACAGATACTAATTGATATAATCCTAAATATTGCTTTTTTAAAAACTAACTAGCCTGCTTGGTGAATCAGAGAGAAAAAACAAAACAAAACAAAAAACACAGTCACCCCATCTCAGGAACCGTGAAAACAATTTGAATATAACAAAGCAGGCATCCCCTTTCTGTTTGAATATAACAAAGCAGGCATCCCCTTTCTGCAGGCATCCCCTTTCTGTTTGAATATAACAAAGCAGGCATCCCCTTTCTGTTTCTATTGCTACCTCATTAATTTGGGAGTTCCCATTATGTGGAAGACTCCCTTGCCCAGAATCACAGACAAAGGCTAGAGGCCACGACGGGGAACATGAAGCGCACTTGCTTGGCCAACCAAGACTCCACGCGGCTCTAAGTGCCGACTGCGGCTCTGAGCACCAAGGAGCTGCATGGACAGAGGCTGTATGAGCATGCAGAAAAACTACAGCACCTTTTTGAAGACCTGACTGACAGATTATTCAGTCCACATATATTTCAAGCTTGACTTCAGTGGAAACTGAATGCCCAGTAGCAAGAGGCCTCCCGTTCAGCAGTGATGCAGTTGCCTCTGGCAGAGGAATTGAGCCTCTTTACTGCACCTGATACCTGAGCACGTATTCAGTGCTCAACACTACGCAGAATCAAATCCAGAGGGGTCTGTTCTGCGATCTTTGGAAGGCCAGGTCTGGACAGAGGAAAGAGCATTTGTTCAGAGCCACAGTGACGAGATGATACCCAATTCATTCACACAACACTCTTCTGCATGTGACAGGTCATGACTGAAATTCTTCCCCTTTACACGTGTATGAGAAAGTACAGGAAAAAAAAAAGATTATGAGGTAAATACAGTTACACCAGGTTTACACTGGTATAAGCAAGTCAAGAATCAAACAAGCTACAAAATCTATTAATTATTTCACACTTCAATAGCAAAGGAAAAAATTGTTTTCAAAATATATAGATATATGTAATTGTTCAAGAATAGACAGACTTTCTACATTGTGACAGGAGATAAACAGTAGTTTAAACTTGGCTTGGATCAAAAAGAAGAAGCTTGAACTCCGGCCAGCAGAGTTTTTTTGGAACTGCTTGTCAGGAGCAAAAGACAGCGGTCTGAAGCAGTCTAAGAACATCAACATTTCATTCACCATCTTCAAGTAGTCTTTGCAAGTTGTTTTGTATCTTAGAAAAAAAAAAGAGAGACAAAAAAAAATTAGGAGGCAGGGAGTGTCATACTGCAGTAAAAAAAGACATACTCTTCAGTACTCTCTCTGTGTGCAGTCTCTCACACTATTTATACCCATGGTATGTATGTTAAATACTTTCTGTGCTAGGCTCAAATAAAACATCTAGATACAATGAGCCAACAGCCTGCCAGGCTGAGCAACTGAAATCAAAGTGATACAGCTTATGATCTTCTCCTGCATTCTTGTCCTACAGACCCTTCCTAGGCATGAGACAGTAGCAGTAGGAGAAAAAAAAAAAAAAAGGAAAAACTATAAAGCAAGAAAGAAACAGAAATGGATTAACCCCCTCGCCACTACCCTGCTACCAGTATTTTAAACGTGAAGAACAGAGAAAGTCTCAGACTTTTTTTTTTTTTTAAAAAAAACAACTTTTAGGTTCAAACGCGTACTTTAAGTAGTTTTACAACAGCTTCAGCTACATTGACCTGTGCACTGCGACATGGGCTCTTCCAGGCATGAGCAGGCGTGTTGCAGGCCCAGATTCAGTGCTCCCACTGACTGTCAATTATCCACTTTCTCTCAGCTCTGCTGAAGGCGGGCAGACAGTCACATCCTCAGAGTAATTTGCACAGATCTGATTTACTTGACCTGTTCCCCTGCACACACACTTCTATCCTCCTGCCCCTAATAGCAGAGTGGAAGGGACACAGCAGGCTACATCCCATGACGTGTTTTCTCTGCATCTCAGTAAGCAGAAATCAATGTCTACAGAAGGTTTAGTTGTAGCATATTTCAGACTCTAAAGTTATTTGAGCAGTAGGGTAACAGAAGAAGTTTCATTAGGCCACCTTCTCTCTTTCCCAGTTTAACTATGCACCCCAACATGGTGCATTTTGAAAACCTAAAACCTGTCAAAAACACTCAAATACCAAAGTGTTCTGCTAAGCTATGGAAATGCATTGGTTTCAAGAATGGCATTCAACTGATAAAAGAAATCACGAGGTCATGCTAAAAGAGTCATTGCAACGTAATCTTGTACTGAACATTTGTTAACTGGAGAGTAATTCACAGCCTTTAACCCAGATCATTACAGTGCTCTGGTTTATAAAGTTGCAGTGACAAGGAGGGGAGGGGGGAGAGACGACAAGCCACATTAAACAAACTGATGTTAGCTCTACTGGCCAAGCCAGCAGCAGTCAGATGCTAACATGTTTCATTAAGACACAAGGCCTGTGTACATTGATTGCTGAGTTTACAGTAAAGCTGTTAGATTTCCACCAGTTTTGCAGTACAAGGGAAGGGTCAGGCTCACTGTTTAACCCTGACTGATCCAGATTAGAGAGGACCAAGATGTAGCAAAAAGCAGCTACAGGTGATGCCCATTTAGCTGAGATCGACAGCAGCTGAGAGTGACCGAGTATTTTGCAAGTCAAGCTAAGACTTATTTAGGGGTTTGGTTCTTTAGACACAAACTAAACAAGGCACATGGATTGAGTCCCTCTAATTCAGGACAGAGGACTACTTCTCCAGGAAACGTTTAGTATTACTACTGTCCAGCTGCCTTTCACAGCGTCTTTGACTGGAGACTATACAAGGGACCGAAATAGCACAGCTCTGCTGCAACAGGCTGGCTGGTTTCCCACTGAAATGAAGTAAGGTCTCCAATGAACCATGCTGCCAGCTGAGGGCCTGACCCAGAAAGACAGCAGACAGTAATCCCTTAAATGGCATGATCTGGCTAGAGACAGTATCTGACAATCATTTGGTTAGCATTTTTCTCATCATATTCATATCATTATTCACAACAGAGAAGGGTTATGTTGACGTCAATCCAGATTTATAGACAAGGTGTGAGTGGTGAAGGGAAGGATTCCCATTTGATTTTTGGTGGTATCATGAAGACTCTCCACCACACTAAACAGTGAGACTATAATATATTATCTTAGCTTCACACAAGTTGAGAAACTTACTTTTATAGAAATAGGTATTGAAAGGTTTTGGCAAGCACGTAGTTTTGGAAAGAGGCAGAAATATCCCATACAATTTAAGTATACAGCAATTCAAATAACTTCTATTTATACTCCACTGCTTCTTTTTTTCATGCTTGGCCAGTGGCACCCTCCTCTCTCCAGGACTTTTCATAGAATCACAGAATCGTTAAGGTTGGAAGGAACCTCTAGAGGTCATCTAGTCCAACCCCCCTGCACACGCAGGGTCACCTAGAGCATGTGGCACAGGACTGCATCCAAGCGGGTTTTGAAGATCTCCAGAGAAGGAGTTGCCCCATCCTCCTCACTGCCTCCCTTGAGGTACTTCTAGACACTGCTCAGGTCCCCTCTCAGCCTTCTCTTCTCCAGGCTGAACAGGCCCAGCTCCCTCAGCCTCTCCTCATAGGGCAGATGTTCCAGGCCCCTGATCATCCTTGTGGCCCTGCGCTGGACTCTCTCCAGCAGCTCCACATCCCTCTTGTACTGGGGGGCCCAGAACTGGACACAATACTCCAGATGCGGCCTCACCAGGGCTGAGTAGAGGGGCAGGATCCCCTCCCTCGACCTGCTGGAAACACTCTTCTTAATGCGCCCCAGGATCCCATTGGCTTTCTTGGCCACGAGGGCACACAAACTTTTGTGTATGTTTGATACATCTAAAGTGGAGAAAAGGCTTCCCACTCATTTCTGTTTTGAGTAGGTATCCAGCTTCAGTCAGCAAGTGCATTTAATTTTGCAATTCGAGAATGACAAATAAAGGTCAGCTATAGGTGGTGACAGAGCTGGCACAGCTTGCTACTCAAGAGAAACAGGCAGGTTTATGCTTTATGTGGCTACATATGAAAGCCGCTTCTTTTTTTTTCATATGAAAGCCACTTCTTCTTTTTTTTTTTTTCTTTTTTTTTAAAGAATACACCCACCCACCACAAATGAAAGCCACGCACAGCAAATATAATCAAGTAATAACAAAAAAACCTAAGTTCTGAATCCTTGGCCTCAGTGGACCAGAATCAAGATAATGAAATGCAGTAATTACCCCTGAAGTGGCCAGTTTACTAGTACTCATGGTCTTAAGGCTCAATCTATCTTAAAGGAAAACTTTCACCCATATCAATACTTGGACTAACTTGTAGTCCGACACCAGCATTTCGCCTTGGAAAGCATGCTGCTCTTGGTATCAGATGTGGAAGTAATTTGGCACTTTTCAGTGTAACAAACTAGAAATTCTGCCAGAACATGATTAGTGTTTCAGCACTTGGCTCATACCATAAAATTACCTTTTCCAATTTTATAAGATTAGCAGTTAACTCATCACAGAGGGCATCAGCATTAACTTGCAGATGAGATCCCAAACCTTGGCGAACTGGTTGTCTGTCAAACAAAAGAAGGAAGCAAGTGTGAGGGAAACAGAAAAAGAAAAAAATACAGAACAGACATGTATGTAGATGGAAATACTTTGAATGGTAACATTTCGATCTCTACTTGTTTACAGACACACACGCCTGAGTCTCTTGACTACAGTCTTTGTGAGGTCTCATTCTCCAGTAGCTTGGAAGGAAAACTACACAGCCATTTCCACCAGTAATAAGTTGAAAAGTTGCATAAGTTCCGTGTGTCTTGTGACTTAGAGGAAATCAAAAAGCCCAACCCCTTGACACTGCAAAAGTGCACATGAGGTCATCATCCATCTTGCACTGTTTGGGATCAGCATGATAGAAAACAGGAGATTCTTGTTAGAAAGAGTGCTTCAGAAGGGGGTCACAGTATCCTGAAAATCAAAGTATGCCAAAAGTGAGAGAGAAGCTTTTAACATTGCCTACTATTAGGCAATGTTTACCCCCTCCCTGCACTCTAAGTGAAATACAAATACAAGCCTGTTTCACATAAAGAACCACTTCCTTCCTATTTCCTCAAATCTGTTACAAAGAGCCTAGTTCTATTCTCTGGCACAAACTGCTGCTGTCCACAGAACATAGCCGAGAGCAACTGGGCCCTAAGCAGCACAGCAGTTGTTGAATATGACTCCTGAGAGCACGCAGTCAGAGTGACCTACATGTCACACTGATTTTTAGTGCTGAAGAAACTGGTTAGTTTTCTCAGCAGTGTCTGAGAAATTAGCTGAACTATATTCTGTTGTGGAAAAGGGTAGAAAGCTAGTTCAATTTACAGTGGTATATTTTTGTATGCCTCTTCATTATCTGTTTGCAGATTTCCTGTTCATAAAACAAGGGGGAAAAGAATTTTTTAAAAAAGGTGGCTGTAGGTTCACATTTGTGAACTACAAAGCGGAACCATCAGAGCTGTACTGGGAGATGTCTAAGAAAATATTAACAGCCTACACTGCTGCCTCCCCAAACCTTCGCAGCAGTAGGAGGATCTTGGCTGTTCTCATACAACTTGAGTATTTCTTATGTGCTGTGAGCCAACACGAGGTAATGACATGCTGTGACTCTAATTTATACTCAGGGAAATCCCTACCTCCTTTTCCTATTTGTCATCTTTCTGCCACTTCTCTTTAAAAAAAAAAAATGCATATGTGAAGTGAGGCAGGGCACTCCTTTCTAACAAGGATGTAGGTAGCCCAAAGATTTAGAAAACATTATAAAAGCAAGACAGATGAATTAACATGAAATTAACCAAGTGACATAAAGACTGAAGACATAAGTTACATTCCCCCCCAGGGCCCAGCTCCTGAAAGGACCTCATGTCAGTAGTTAACTCTGAAGTTACAGCTGTCTGAAAAATGCTGAAAGCAGCCATATACCACAATACATCGCACTTGTACTAGAAGTCTCAAACAGAATGCTATTACATGTGGCTAGTACAGACATGAAAACTACAGGGTAGTGAAGTATCACGCAGGTTTCTTAAAAATAATTTTACAAATTATATTCTTACTCCTTAACATGCGACTCAAAGGATGTCATGGAAATAAGACGTTCCTCTAGGACGTTGATTTTGTATCTCATGTAGAAGGTAGAAAATATTAATACGCAGACACTGTAAGAGAAAGAAAATAAGTTATGTCAACTGAGTTTGTATGGACAAGGAAACTTAAGATATATCTGACAAGATCAACAGTAAAAGCCACTTAAATTGTACATTCGTACAATTTAATTTAATTTGTACAATTTTGTACAAATACATTTGTACATGTATTGTAAAGGTGTCATTTTTAAAAACACCTCAGAAATACATCTCAGTTTGAGCATTTGAGCAGCTCTGAAAGTCCTAGCTGAGCAGTACAGCTTTGTTAAGTGCCACTGAGCTTGCAAGCAGCTAAACGTTTTGACATCTACCCAACCAAAATTCCTTTTGCTTCTACAAGTAAAAGGCCTATTAAACCTGTCCTGACATTTATTCTGAAACAAGGGGGCACAATCCCCCTCAATCTCCTCTTTTTTTCAAGAGGAACTTAGATTATATTAATCTATGTGAAACCATGAAAATAATAACATTTTCAAAATTTTACTTACAGAACTGCATAAAATATAAGTATTTGGTTCAGAGATACAAGTTTCTGGGACTTCACTTTGTGGAAGAACCCGAAGGCTTCAAAATGACCTGCTGGGAGAAGAGCAAAGTGTCATTTTAATCAAAGCAGAGCACGGCAGACAAATGTAGTTTGCAAACATGCAACACAGAGGAAGATCTTCCACAGCTAGTATGAACTGACACAGCTATGTGGACATATCCAACCCCAGATGAAGATGTTCCCTTGATTCTTTACCATTCCGAGAAGTGTTCCTGGCTTTTCCTTCAGGTACACGTTTACTGTGTACATCCGAACGGACAGACTTTGCCTCAGTCTTGGAAACTTTCAAGTGGGTCTGTGTCTCAATAACATGATAATCTGTCAAAAAACAACAATTTCAGTTGATTATGAAACCAAAGAAAACTACCAGTAACTTAAATCAATCAAGGAGTTGGAGAACAGAAGGATTTTAATGGCAGCAGTTTTGGACTCAGAATAGAAAGCAGCAGATAGTTTAAGTCTTAATCGTCTTCAGAAATCCTAAGAGTTTGCACAGTAGTTCCACACAATTGCAAAACACAGAGAATTTGGAAAGGATGACATATGATGCATTTACATTTCCATGCCCTTTGAAAGATGGCAACCCATGCAAACTTTGCAGGTTATCACTAAATCTGCCAGTCAGGGGAAACAAAAGTCATCCCTCAAGAGGACTGAATAGCCTACAGTGATGTTTCAAATGACTATAATAACATCCAATGGAGATACTGGATTATTACTGTAAAAATGAAATTGTAGTTCCAGTTCATGACCTTTTTTTTTAAGGCAAAAGACATCTGAGTGAGATGGGACAGAAAAATCCAGTCACATTTAGTTTTGTCTACTTGTTCCGCTTTGCATATCCAGGACTGTTTTAATGATGAAAAAGAAACAGAATGACAAGTGACAGGTTTTCTCCACCTCATTTCTATTCTTAGGGAGATATTTTTAGCTGGATTTCTTTCTTTCTTTCTTTTTTTTCTTTTCTTGTGGAAAGGAAAATAGAAAGGCTTGAAGTTCTTATTGGCCTTAAGGAAGCAAGACAGCAAGTTAGATAATTATTCAAAAGCATTCACTCAGCAAGTAATGTCAACATAATTTAGTTGTTGCTTTCCAAACGCCAACAATTAAAATATGTACAGACTCAGTAAATACAAACAACAAATTGAAGCAAATAACTCTAAATCATAGAGCTAAAAAAAAAGACACAGAAAAAAAAAGAATTAAGTAAGAACTAACCCAACTAAAACATGCTATTTAAGAAAGAGAGAATTGATAATGTTTCATCTAAAGTAATGGCTACAGACAAGTTTCCAATTATACAACTTCAGTATAGTCAAGATAAAACCTGGAGTAATCATAGAATGCCAACACAATAAATATTAACACACTAACTGGGATCCCTAGAATTTTGCTGCTAATGACCTTCACTATGTGCCACATAAAAAAATGCATATGTAAGAGTTCAAAAATATGACAGAACTTGTTTTCTGTGTAACATTACGGCAGACGATGTGAAGAATCTGAGATATGTAAAAATAAATGGTAGTGTTTGTTACAAACATAAATTAGGCAGTATTTTCAAGTGTCTTAGTAACTGCAAAGAATAAAGCAAAACAAAAAATGCAACCATATCAAAGTTTTTTTTTCTCTGATGATCAAAATCTGCCTCTGTATGTAAAGTTCTTTAAATGGATCAGAAGAAGTTACAGTATGACCTGAACTATTTTTAATAGTTTCTTTTGTCTTTAAAGGAAGATCATCTTACATTGCATCTCAGCTGAAATAATGATAGGGTAAAATTCTTGAAATACAGGGGAGCAGACAGGGCATGAATAAACAACTGGATGCAGTAGTGACATTAGTGATAGGAACCAGATCTGTTTCTGACAGAACTATTATTCGACTCTGGATTAAGAAGGCATGTAAATAGTGATAGAAATCCAGCTATTGTGGCTCCAAAAAAGACTGTAAAATTGTTCTCCCAGTTTATGGGGATCAGAGATATATTTCCACATCAGAAGGGGATTACAGAAGCAAAATTGAGCTGTGCCATTCCCATCTTCTCTGAACCAAGGACCGCTCTCACCTTGGAAGCGTTCCAGCTCTGGGGTTTGGGAGCCTGTGCTACTGGACTCCTCCATCTCTTGCCTCCTCTGTTGCACTATGCCATCCAGATCAGAATAGTCTTCATTGAAATCCTATTAAGGGAAGAGTCACAGGAAAGATCAGCCTGATTTACTTAGACCTCTCTTGAGAAAGTGAACCAATGATTAGAGATTTAAAATTGTCTGGCTGGGAACAAGCTCAAATACCAAGACACTGAGAACAAGAGAGCACAATAAGCACAGTATGAATACCATGAATACCAGAATTCAAGTTCAGGTCTCACCCGAGCTTAGGTGAAAAGCCTGGGTACATGAACAAGAGAAAGACTGTTAAGTTAGACTCTGCTCATTGCGTGGCTACACATCTCTTTCAGTTGCCTGAACTGGACTGCAGAGGACTGCAGCCAGAAACACTTCATAAGCAATGCTAGATTGCTACCCATGGCAAGGGAAGCAGCAACCATAAGTTATTACAGAACACCATGAAACTTGACTGCTAGGAACAGTTTATGTGCGCACTCATACTGCATCTGATCAGCTCAAAGTACATTCATGCCCATCACTTACACTGCTTCCTGAGGCTCATGGATGTTTTACAAACAAGAAGCACATGATTTGCTTCAGTTGAGGACATTATAAACAGGACTTGCAGTGAATAGTGCCACACAAAAAGCTAACAAAAACCCAAGTCACTGACCAGTGATAGAGTTGTAGGACGATCAGCCCTGAAACTGTTTTCGAGAGAAGAGGGATTGGGACTGTTGCCAACGCTGGTATCCTGTCGGGGGCGGGGGGAGGAAAAAAAAAAAAAAAGAAAAAGTTTTAGCAATGAACATAATAGAAATTGCCCAACCTGTAAAAGCAGAAGAGCTGTAGAATGAACATATATCATCACTTCCATTAGTACTCACCTCGAGATGTCCACAGATGGATTTTAATAGTTTGTAGGTGTTATCTCTGGAGAGCAAGGAGACAAACATGTACTGAAAAACAAAAGTTCCAAAACTGTTGAGAAAAGGCACCCCGTAAAAACTTCCTTTTATCCAAATAAAAATCAGCAAGTTCTATATAGCTCTGTTTACTGTACATCTAAGGAAGAAAACACAGAGTTAGGGGAAAGGAAAAAAAGGTCACTGCCTATCTAAAGAGTGGGAGCAGCGTAGATCCAAATTACCGCCAAAAAAATCCTCTGGAGTTCTCAGTCTCAACAAGCACATGTGGCCAATCCTCTGCCTTGATAAACTTGCACCTGGAACCTTTTAAGAAACCTTCAAGACAACTGCAAATAAGTAGAGGAAAGAAGGAAAAAATGGAAAAAGAAAGCAGGCAAGGTACGATAGCTTCACCCCTTTCCAGTACTTACTTTATCTGTAACTGTTGCTATGATCAGAGCATTTGGCACAAGGAGGGCAGTTTTGGTTTTCTTTAGTAGCGTCACAGAGAGCACAGGTATACTGATCTGAAACAAGACCATCATATTGTTATAGTCCCAAAACATGCATACATGTCCAAATGCCCTTTCTTAAGGAGCCAAACCTAGCAACTGTGGTGAGGAAGACCTTTAACACTCTTCTTTAAAGACTTCTCTCCTACATCCCACATGGAGCAAGTATGGTTTCAGACTAATATGACTTTTCAACTGTTTTTACCTCTACTTTTATCGGTTCTCAACTGCAGATTTTATTTTTTGTGCTTCCTCTTTTAGATCCCTTCCCTCTTACAAGACTACAGGCTCAGATCACTGTGTACCTGCAGAGCAAACCAGGCTTAGAGATTTCTTTGTTTAGGAACAAAAGGTTTCGAAACATTATCAGACAGGAGATGCTTGTTGAACACTGAACATACAACTCTTGCTCTTCCTCACCACTTTGAATCCTTAGTTTGCAGCAAGCAGCTGAGAAAACTGCTTATCCTGCAGTAGTCAAAAGGCTCAATACTCACACACCTATTCACTTATTTAAATAGATCCCTGTGTCAGCCTTTCTACATTGATACTAAAAAGCACTCAACAATTTTCCCTCCTGTTTTTTTTCTTTACACTCAACCCCATTAGTATGGGAAAACTACCTACTAAGTTTCAGAATATCTCAATTCAGATATTTTGTATGGTGCTTCTCACAAATTCCACATCACAAACAAATGATTTGCTGCTTGGACTTTTAATTAAAAAACCCAGAGCTGACTGATAGCAAGTTGGGCAAACACAGTAATCCAGGATACTTCTGGCTATTGCTCTTGTTAAAATGTCCTCAGGGCACCACCACAGTGACCCAAGGAATTTGAAGGCAAGATAGAAGTATCAGAAGATTGATCGATAGGTATCACAGCACTGAAAGAAAAAAAAAAAAACCCAAAACAAAACAAACAAAACCAAAAACACAGCTCAGTGCAGAACAACATCCCGAAGCATTTTTATTTGTTAACTTTTATTTAGAAAAATAAGTACAAAGTAACAGCAAGTCCTTAAATTATTTCCTGTTTCAGGTAACAAAAAAGCATTTTTGTACCTTAGTCTGGCTGCAAGATTGTCGGGCACTACATATGGATGCCAAACCAAATCTCTGCTTGTCATCTACAGAGCAGAGACTTGCTATTTAGTTTTGTTAAGAAAGGGTACTAGCACAAAAAATAAACCAGAAAAATTCCAAATCACAAAGCCTGTAATTTTGGAAGACAGCATCAAGGAATTTGTAAGTCTGACCACCACCACCACTCTAGTGATTTTTTTAATTATATATATATATATATATTTTATATATGACAAATCTATTTGTCCTGTGAACCGCTCTGGGTCAGAATTGGCTTAACTTCTTTTGAAGAGATTTTTCAGCAAAAATCATGAATGATAATTATAATAAGAAATGCAACTTAGAAGTTTTCTAACTGGCTCAGTTCATCTCAAAGAACCTTAACTCAGAGATGTTAATTCATTCTCTTGCATGTTATTTTGATGGATAACATTACCATAATCAAGACAATAGAGTCCGTAAGGAGGATTAAATACTTGTGTAGTGCACTCTTACCCCAGAACTAGATTGAATCACTGCGAAGTATTTTACTTCTCTGTAATAAAAACTCTTCTGGAAAATACAGTTTACTTGTAAGCAACAAAGGGAGAAACTAAAATGTGTAAGATGATATTTATCTCCAGAAAAGAGATACCAGGCCAATACAGAGCTACCTGGAGAGGCAGTGCTGTCTTTCAAAGCTTACTCAGTCCTGCAGCAGAGGCATTTTATTTTCAAGCAAGCAGGATTTTTTCACCGCAGACTCAGAGCTGCAGACTTATATAGCTGTTTCACCCTCCCGCTTCTTCCTCCCAGTCTTTATTAAAAAAATTCCTTAGGTAAAAGAATTCACAGTGAGAGATTTATCAGAACATGTGATCCTGCTTCTTCTCACAACAGAACAGTTTTATGACTGAGTTCAGATGGTTTTACAAGTTCCAGGCAATAAAGCTTTTGTGTCATGGCAACTTTATCAACATACCTTATTGCCAAGAATGTTATTCCTCCTGGCAAGTTTGATTTCCTCTTCCCACCCCCCACGACATTATTCTTCATTATATCCTTAATTGTCCAGCTGTTTCGCTGATAACATTTCTAAAAATATTTGTGCCTGCTCTGTGTGGCTGAACCAAGCTCCAAAGTGAGATGCAGGAGGCAGCAAACAACTGAGTTTATTCCTTAAATGATCTCAATTTTTCCCTCCTTTTTAAAATACAGTTTTAAAAACTGGGATGCTGAATAGAACAAAGATGGAATACCATTACAACCATATTTAGAAATATTAAACCTACTCTGCTCTAATACTGTTACTCTTGTGCATCATATACATACATGAATACATATATATCCCCCAAACTAGAACTTTATTGATTTTCTATTAAAAAGGAACACTTTGCAGGACTGTATGATTATCTTTTTACATCATCCTTCCCCAGGTCTTTCTATTCTACTTGATAGAGTTTTGTTAGATTTTATTTGTATGTATGTAGCTTAATTAGAATTTTAGAAAGCTGCAACTCAATTTGGACTAATCACATTCACATTTAGTTGTGCTGAAGTGGAGACTATTTAGCCAATATCTTCATCAGATTTTTTTTTTTTAAATGAAACTACTTGCCAAGATAGCTGCTATGAGTTAGAATTAACAGTATCTGTTAATTTCCTATTCATGCCATATGGCTTCCACTGACACATATGCCATCTATATCAATGCACAACCTATAACTAAGAACATCCACTAACTGGCAACTAATAATAACTCAATTTCTTGAGCCAGGTAGTCACACACAGTAAGTCATAATGTCACTATGAACAAACATGTGTCATTAATCACTCTTTAAACTTGAACTTATTTCACCTTCTTTAAGAGGGTTCTTTCAAAAATAGGTGGCACACCATCAAAATAGTTCACAGCAGAGAAAAGAGATACTGTTTCTTGACTTAAAGGAAAGTACAGATGAGCACCCTATTCACTAAACAAGAGTCAAGATTTAAACCAGAATATTGTTTAAGAAAGTTTCAAGGAAGTACCTTAGAAAGCAAAGGATTCTTGCAGTAAATCAAGTTCCGTTTCCTAATGAAAGCTCAAAGACAGATCAGTTTCTGTGAACATGTGAAAATGCCCCCAGCCTCCAAAACAAGAAGAGAGCACTGGCTGTTGGACAGGATTTCTTATCACCTGTATCCATAGCATTCACCTGAGGGGGGCAAGCCTTCAGTGGGTCCTTTATAGTTAAAAAAAAGGTTCCTAGTTTGAAAGTTTCAGTAGCCGCAGCTATCTGTGCTGAGAGCATGCAACGATAAAGTGAGTTATTTCTGACTAGTCAGGTCCCACTTCTGCTTTTCACATTAGGCTGAGAAGCGCAACCGGTTTCTCTTTCCTTTCTAGGCTCATGCAGCCAGAGGAATCCCTCACAGCCCTTAACCACTTGGCTCTGAAACCAAGTTTAGTTTTTCCATGTGTAATCGTTCTGATGTTTAACAGGCTTGATTATTCCCTCCAGTTCTCAAGTAGAGCCTTCTTGACCTTGTTTTTCCACCTTGCCGCCACCTCCTCTTTTTTTCATACTTTTCCCAGGAGAGTTTTTGCTATGTGGGCTTGGCAACATCCTCACTGCTGAATGTCAGATCCTTTCCTTTCCTGCCATCTCTTTTTCCACACAAGAATTCCCTTCTGAGGTGGAATGGATTTTTAATAACAGTAGTGCTCCAGTTCTAAAGTAACTTTCTGGCATTGCTGCATGGCGGTTACAGTATCCAGTAACAGTCGGCCAGTCAGAAATTTTAGCACTATTCAAGACTTGCACAACAAGATGAAATTTTCACTAACCTTAGTGTCTTTGCCAAAAACCTTGGAATGGAAGCAAATCCAGTTTTCAGAAAGGAATAACTTGCCTTGGTACAGAATTTCTTTCTGCAGAGCACACGTAAAACCTAAAACACACAGCCATTTTATAATCTTTACAGTAATTACAAACCAAGACAACATTTTCTTTAACTTTTAGGCACTGTAAATCCTTCTCCTGACAGTGCTTTTAAATTTTAAAGCAGTAATAAGTTACAAACATGTAGGCACATAACCAGTTCTATTACAGTTAAGTAAAAAATATGAGTACCAGCAAAAGGCTGCAGCAGATTGCTCTGTTTAGAAGAGCAAAGTGGACAACTACTCCCAAAGATGCTCAAAATCTAAAGATTTAAGAAATTAAAATTCTGAAAGATTACAACAGAAATATCCAGTGAGTGCATATGGATGAAAGCCTTGCTGCTGTAGGCAACTGGAATTATGGTTTTTAGGGTTCAGGCAGTGGCTCTTGAATGTCACCCATATCTTTCTTCCAGAGTCAGCAATGACGAGGGGATTAATACTTACTTTGTTTCAGTGGCTCATCCATGGGAACCTCCATAAACAGCTTATGAAAGTGTGCATTTGCCTTCAGCTAAAAAACAGAGAGGCCCACACCCAAAGACAAATGCCTTATTAGATATCTTTATAAGCAAGCATCCAATTCCATTTCCTACCTTGCCATTACGCCCAAATTACCATAAATCTCTACTTTTGCCAAGCATCTATTTACTCATAGTAAGTGTGTATATAAGCAAGTATATTATCTGCACTACCTGGTTTGAGACACGTTTTTTCCTCTCAGTCTTTGAGTTGCTCTTGATGTCCATTGCTATGGGTGGGCTGTCTGCACTGCTCTTTGTCCTAAAAATGAAAAAATAAGAATAAAAAAGGCACTCATGTGACATGATTGATCTCTTTTCATCAGTCTTGGTAGTTACCAACAAGCCACACATTTGCATGTGTATGAATTCTTATCTATCTGATTCATTAGGGATTACGCAAGCACCGAAGAGGAATACATCTCAATGGTAAGCTGCACCAGCTCTCATGTCATAAAAAGCCCCAGTCTTTTTGTATTTTAAGGGAAATATTCTAAATTATAGTTCAAAGTGGGGAGGAATCAAGTTCAAGGCATTCCTACAACATGATAATTTATCACAGATATTAGCTTAACACATGAAATACTGTTTTCTTAACAGCACACTGATGAAAGTAAGATAAAAATAGTACAGAGTGAAATGCAATGCACTCAAAACTATGAACTTATACTACAAAATGGGAACTTGTTTTAAAAGTGCAACGGAGAAGAAATAGGTGCAAATCAAAGCCATGAACTGGTAAGGTAATGAAATCACTAAAAGAGCCGGCAACTCTGAGGGCAAAGTTGCTAATACACAAAGGGGAATTACAAGTGCCAGTTGTATAAGAAGTCATATCTGTACAACTTTGGACATTCATATTGGACAGAGGGAGGAAGAAATACACACGCACACACACACAAGAACTCTGAAGTAGAACAATTAGAGAGGAAGTCTGAGGATGTGAGGATGGCCATTAAAATCATTTTTATTTTTACGCAGCAGAAATGCACAGCATGATTGTTTAGCATAATAAAAACAGAGGAGGGATAATACTGCTTTAGAAATCAGCTGGAAAAGATTATCCCTGAGAACTTTCAATTATAGCACAGACAAAAAGGCATCAACAGGCTATAAAAATAAGTTGGCTTTTTTTCAGAGGCTTTCAGAAGCAAACTGGGGAAGAGCAGAAGGAAGAGCACAACACAGGCCTCACTAAATGACGTGGAGAACATATGCTGCAAAGTGCTAGGGTAGGATGGAGAAAGAAAGGTGCTACAAAAATCTCAATTTCCATCAGTGCACCTTATCTGCCGTTGTACATCTTCCTTAATTTTCTACACTTGAGATGGTCAGGGTTTCCAATAAAAACTGTAAGACGGGAACAGGGAAAGAACACTCAAGTGTTGCACAGGTGAGCTAAAAGAAACTGCCCACCAGGACTGATTTAGCTTGCAGGGAGACTGGTTTCAATTCCTTCATAGAAGAAACCTACAGCATACATGTGTCTGTGCGTGTGTATGTAATATTTAGCTCAAACTTTAGACAGCCTTTAAAAAAAAAAAAAAAAAAGCTCCTCTCCAGCGAGAACAATTAATTGTATGAGAAAGATGAGACTGCAAGGACAGGAAGTAGTTGCATTCTTCTTCAAATGGTATTTCAGGAAGGTAAGTGATGTTTCATAAATACTGAAAACAAAAGAGCAGGTTGACTACTGACTTTATCATTTGAACATTGACCTCAGCTGACAAAGTGAAATCTGCTCAAGTTTTGCATTCAAGCTCTTGAAGAAGAATTTTAATACTCTTCCAGTTTGTTTTAGAAGAGTTTCAAGTGCACTCCAATTCTCCAAAATGAAAGAATGACTATTTTTTACAGAGAGATTACTACAGCCATGCGATGCAATATGCAGTGCAAAGAAGCCTCAGTGAGAATCCAGAAGATTCATGGCTTTACTGTGCATGATCACTAATCCAGTGCTCCTGAAACAGCCCAGGAGTCAAACTGCAGCTCAGTTTGACTTCCTCCCAGGCTTCAACAGCTGTGAAAAAGGAAATATCCAGCAATGATGCCGACCACAGCAATATGTTTCCCTAGTACGGGGGTCCAAAGTTGCACTATTCTGGCTGCTCGTGGTGGATGATACATCGGCCTCTGGAAGGGGGCTCCCATCCCTGTTTGCACGCTTTAAGTTGGCTCAACTGGGCTACCCACACACATCTACTAACACAACTGGGATGATAATGTCCCGTAAAACTTCTTTCTCACTTCTTGAATGAGCCACAACCACTTCGATTATCTCACCACCAGAAGGCTGGCATTACCTGGCAACACCAGCTTTTTTCCGGTCTTCAAAATACTCCACTTCACTGGTAGGGCTCTGCAGCAGTATAGTAGGTGATTTTCCAGGCTTTTTTTCATCTGATCCATTTTCTCCATCTGAACTGCAGAATGAAAGATGAAATAGATATCAACATGTTTTGCAGGATTTATACCAAAGTTAAAAGCTACTGCAATGTGCTGACAACATAGCACATACTAATGGCCAAAATTATGACATTTAATTAACACCAACACGCTGCATCCCCTGGCTTGGCAGTATTATACATCCGAGCAAAAGGATAAGCCCCGATATTGAAATTCTAGCAACAAAGAGATTAAAAACTGTATTACTGCCACAAATATTCAAACAGACTTAACATTTGTAGCTTTAACTTCCATTCCAAAAGGAATGAATTTTTCCTGAGTGAGACTGTGTTTAGTACTCAACCTGATGACTAAGCAAAGTTAATTTGATTGACAAGTTGGGAGAAAAACATCCTGCATTACAGTATGCAGCACTTAACTAAATACTTGTGATTCTGTGTTTTAAGGGGAATCTGGGGAAAGTTGTCTGAGCAGAATCATCTTACTCTGAATCAGTAGGTCCTATTTTGCCCCTTGGTTACACCTTCCATGAGAGCCCACCTGTAGGGTTTTCACAACGAAGGATCCTTGCAGAGTAACAGCAGCACTGGGTTCATTTTACAAAAACACTGAGTTGCCCCTTCACAGCATTTTCACCCCCCTTTAAACACATGCTAGCAAACTATGGTCTAAAGACTAAGAAACGTGCCAGCAGAATCTTTTCCTGGCTTCCAACTTTCGTCAATTTCTAACAGAGTATTATCTCAGAAAATGTAAGCAGGGAGGAAAAAGCTGTCATTAAAAACAAGGTTTCAAAAACAGCAGTGTTTCAAACAAGACGCATAGCCCTTCTTTTCAGGGACTAAAATGTTAGATTATAGGAAGCTTTGTAGCATTAAAGAAAGAAGTTAAACTATGTTGTTAGGTATCTTAATGCCTTGCCTTTATGACCACATCTACAAAAGCTTCATTAAATGTTTTACATTATATATACCACAATACATACACACTGCAGTTTTACAGCAACCACACAGGCACTGCCATCACAAAGAAGTGTCATGATAATAATGAAAAGTTTATTTTCATACTTGGCCAGAAGTCTGGCAGAGGTTCCCAGACTGATTTAATCTCCATTTTCTTTTAGGAAGGGCACAAAAAAGATGAAACCGTAACCAAACCAATCTGTGAATCAGATCGGAAGACACATAGCAGCACACATTTGTGGAGGCCTAATGAGAACTGTCATTCCCTGTCTGTCAGCTAAACCAGAGCTTATGTCAAAGAATACAAGACACAGAGGTTTGCCTTACTACTGATGCTTAGATTTTTTTCTCTAAAATGTTGTGTATTTACCTAGAGCAGACATTGCCCTATCTAACATGTTCCTACACCCTAACACTCCCACCACGGAGGCACTGAATCAACAGCTTGTGCAGCACTAAGGGTTACAGCACAAAGAAAGTCAATGTGGGGGAAAAAAAATTAAAAAGCAATGGTTTTGTCATTACTTCATTCCTGGATCTGTCCTGCTTAAGCACAAGGCAGCAGCTTTTATCTATAGCGAACATAAATTAGCATTAAGTGAGCAATTCGAAAGACCTAAGTGGAACACAATCTTGCACCTGGAAAACTCAAGCAAACCTAAGCAGTTTTATCTAGTTTTTAATTTTGGAGAAATGGAGAAAATCACCCAGACAAGGTGCTTCTCACAGGCAAAGCTCTTGCCCACGCACAGTCTCACTACCTACTTGCTTCCCATTCCTAAATTCCCAGGCTTCGAGGCAGGCTGGGACAGAGGCGCGAGTGGGATGAGGGGCAGGACGAGGCACGTTTGCCAGGCCTGCGTTTCGGAAGGGCGGCACAGCGCGGGAATTCGCGAGGAAGGAGGAAGGAGGGCAGGGCTGGTGCCCACGCTGGCTGCCTCTCCGGGCCTGGCGATGCCGCTGCCGCGCGGCGCTCCTGGCTTGGCACTGGGCTCGCGGACCGGAGCGGCACCACACGGGGAGCCATTCCAGAGGCAAGAGGGAACACAGGAGACAGCAGAGCTTTTAGAGCCATGTGGAGCTTTGCTGGGATCCAGCGGTTTAAGAATATCCATAAAAGTCTACGTACGACGCACGAGGTCAGAGGCTGCTTAGCACTGCCAGCTGGATGCTTTGCTGCTCTCAAGTGCTTTATTACTTACTGCACATACTCCATCCCCCCTCCATTATTCCCTTACTTTGCACTTAACCTCATTAGACAGTTCTTTGCTGGGTTTGCTGGTGAGCTCCTCACCTTCTCTACCATCCATCACTTTGCCCAAATCTGCCAGCTGATTACCTCCAGTTGTTTTCAGATGCCAGAGCACTACGGGACGAAAGCAGGGCTCTCAGCACATTAACCTCACTGACAGCAGTGGGTGAAAAGCAGAAAAACCCCAAGCCACCAGCCACCTCCTCAGGATCCTCCGTGACAGCCAACACTCCCCATTGCATGGAGAGTGCACGGGGAAAGCACCCGTGCTCTTCCGCCCTTCACCCTGCCTACCACATGTCCAAAGCCTCACATAAAGAAAGGACACTCAACGATTTGTCTTTATGCTTCTGATAATTGCAGCTCCACATAGCAGCTAAGGCCCTAGCAGGTACCTTTAAGGTAGGAGAAGAATCTTATTTTACCTGTCCCTCTGGAGCTGCACTGATCACAGGTATGACCTAAAGCCAGCACAATTATTTGTCATCAAGTCTCTGGAAAACTAAAGCGCTCCTCACATTTTTGTGTGTGCATCAGGCCTCACAGATGCTTTGTAAAAACAGCACAAAAGCCGGCAGTCCACACGGAAAATAAGGGGGCAAAGGGAATCAAGACCAAAGGGCACCTGAAGTGATACTTAACACAGCTATTAATATCTCCACATAAGTGAACCATATCTGCAAAATCGAGGGCAAAGCAAACAAACTTTAAAGTATTATGGTTTGGTTGATACAAAAATAAACGTTCTTTAATTTAACACGCATTCTGTATTCAGTACTGCTAGGAACTCTGTTTCAAATAAATGCTAAAATAAAGGAAAAAACATCTATTCTCCAAAATAAAGAAGGATTATTTTTAAATCCATGGCTTTTACTTACTATGGGATCATATCCTTGTAAGCTAAGCTAAGTTTAAAAAAATTGTACTTCCTGTATTTTTAAAAATATACACAAATAACTGACCTGAGTAATTTTGGATTAAGTCACAGGAAACGGAAAGTGTAAAGAAATACATTAACCACAGCAGTGGGCTAAGTTTTCTTTCAGTTAAGTGCTCAGAGTAAGTTAAGAGATGCATTATTAGAAAATGCATTTTTAAGAGTCAGGACACAAAAGCTTTGTGACAGACGTGTACCTCAAGCCTTCTGAACTTCAGGTTTTTTTTTTGTTTGGAGTTAATCTTCTCTAAATCTTGGAAAATTCAGATTTCCTGTGGAAACTATGCTTAAAGTGTCCCACAAATAAACAAGGGATATTTTTTTTTTTAAAAAAAAAGGGAAAAAAAAGAAAAAAGAAAACAAACAAACAAACAAACAAAAAAAAACAAAAAAAAATCCTTACAGAACTTGTTTGAATGAGAGACATTGAATAGAAATAATGTAAAACAACACAAAAAGAATACACTAATGGACAACAGTTTGGAAACTAAGCCTTAATGAAATAACATTTCATACCTCCGTACAGTCTTTTCAGCATGAACACTCCTCAGACACATAGGTCAGGTAAAGACCTACAAAACTGTGGAATGGTTACTAGCTATTCCATCCAGAGCCACCACATACACGTTTACACGAAGCCTCCTGAGATCTGTTACAATGAAGATCAAGGAGAGCAAGCAGCTTGGGCAACAGGTCTAAAAAGATGTCCAAAAGCCACAAAAGCTGCATGGAGCCATTTGCTCAGCTAACAGATTGCACACTGAGTACACAGGAGTAAAAAGGCACCCTGACTCACCGGAGATGCCAGCAATGACCATAGTTGTTTCCAAAACCACGGACACACCGGTGTTTTCCCAAGGTTTAACAGGAATCGGCACTGCTGCAATGTTCGCACTGATGATGGGCCATATGTACGGGATAGCCACGGTTACCTGAGGAGTCCTGCTCCCAGTTTAATGTCTTTTCAACCTAAACAGATTAGTTTTGCAGCAGCAGTTGGAGACAGCTGGGGGAGGGAGCAAAATGAGGGGGCTGTTCTGGCAGAGTGCTTCCAGCAGAAACTGCTGCAGGTTGCCCAAGGAGATGTGTTGAAGGGACAGCAGCCCGCCAAGCCTGCCGTAGGCTGGAGAGCTCCTCCTTGGCATACGCTCGTCTCAAGCTTCCTTTCCCTGAAGCAGCAGTCTGAAACAGCCATCCCAGCCCTCATTCTGGTAGCTGAAATACATACTGCCGTGTCTACAAGAAGACAGGGGCCTTCATTCCACTAAGCCGCTCTTCTATCCCATTCCAATTTGAAAGAATCTTTCTTGGTCACATGTAATCAAAATGATGCTTTTTCCGTCAAGCCTGTATTCTTTATCTAATGCAGTTACATTACCTTATCCTGTATGTTTCCCACCCTGGGCAGACTTCTTCTGTTGTCCTTGTCACAGCAAATTTCAGCAGTGTCTGTACTGGATAAGGTAACGACAGTGCTGAAGCCAAACATTCAGATATCCAGTGTTCAGATGTTCCTATGATGGCTCACCACTTAGAAAGTAAGACACTCGGACTAATCCAGTGTTGTGGTACAAATCTGTTTATGTGAGAAAGCATATCTACCATATTTCTGAAGAATGTTTTAATATACTTCTGAGACCAAATGCCACTTTTACTGTGCACCTGGAAGGCAGGTTGAGGCTCCAATACGATCATCCAGACTCCAGTGCTATCAAAATGGCAGAAAACGAACCACAAAAGATCACGAATGAAATGGAATCGAGTAACAGCTGCTATAACAGGCATTATGGACAGCCGTAATCTACCCATGCAGAATACATTCAGTATTTCTATAACTTAATATGCTCAGTACATTGTTTTTCAGCC